CCAGTGCCTTTCAGTTGGCTCAGCATTAAATCTCGCTAATTGATTAACACTTTATGCAATATCTTGCCTTGACCAATTACTGAGATAAGATAAACTACCAATCAAGGACTGATAAATGTTCTTATGAAAAATAGGACTTTGAACATTCCTATGGCTAAACTTCTGACTCATTGGTGTCTTAGCCGGCTTACAAAGTTCCATTTTAAAACTTTTTAGTAATTTTAATTTTATCTGCCTGTGAGATCTTGTATCCTCCCCTAGTTCTATCTATTTTTAAACCAAGATATTGTTTGATTTCTCCTAACTGTTTTATCTTAAATTTATTTTCCAATAGTGAAATTATCTCAGTAGCTTCTTGTTCAGTTTTGGTGATTAATGCTATGTCATCAGTAAATATTAGCAATAATGAAATTATACCATTACTTTCCTTTTTAAACAAGCATGGATCAGCCATGCCAACTACAAAGCCTATCTTAGTTAATTCTTTAACTATACATTGGTTCCACTCATATCCTGATTGCTTTAAGCCATAAAGACCCTTTTTCAATTTCCAGCAATCAGTTGTATTACCATCTTTGATACCTAAAGGTTTCTTTAAATATATAGTGTGTTGCAATGGTGCATGCAAATATGCTGTCTCTACATCCAAATGATTTACAATGTATTTCTCCTTAGCTGCCCACACTAATGCTGCCCTTAATGTGGTATGTATGTATAGGAGAATGGTATAACTCTTATCACAAATAACTGCAAAAAATGTATATAGAACTTGTTTTTAAAGGTGAAAATTTAATAAACTTTATTTAAAAAAACCTGACATTTACTCTCGATGTATTTATACTTCCTTAAATATTTTCAATTAGTTTTCTAAAATAATGCTTAGCAACCTAACATAAACACATAAGCTTTTGCCTGTTAAAAATGTTTTAAACACACTATACGTAGATAAAGAACAAATTAAAATGTTACCATTAGTTTATTTCTTTCAATAGTGAGTGTACATACGCAGTACTTGATATTTGCAGAATATTTTTCCCACGTGGAAAGATATGCAAATTGCTTTGCATGATCCCATCTATATCCAGGCATGATCCCAGCTGAATAACCTTTCAGGCTCATTTTAAAAAATGAAGCTGAGCACCTCTATGGAATGGGCAGTGAAATCAATGAAGAAAGTAACAATAGCATTTTCAGGGAAAGTTCAATGTCAGAAACATGTTTAATTTAATGTATTTGATTTAAATAAAATTTTACAGAGTCTTACAATTGTTTTTTTTCCAAAGAACAGTGCAAAAGGCTTGAGGGCAGAGCAGTGCAGTCCATGATTTGCCCACCATGTCCTTACAGTTTTCAGCAGAAAGTGTTAGCATGCTTGTGCAGATGCGGGTACCCTTATCCATTATAATAGTAACAATAATAAAATGCCAAAATAAAGCCAGAATTATATTTTACTAACATGGAATTGCCCATATATTCTATAGTTAGATCTCTTGTTATATCTGCAGATTGTACCCCTGCTGAAGCACAAATGTCACGATGCATTAATGCATAAAGACAAAAGAAAACTTCAAGGAATCGGCTGTAACAACACCACCCCACAACAGAAGCAGAGAGACACAATTTGATCCACCTTGATAATATGGTGCTGGATATTCTCTTACCAATGGTGGATGAGACACAATCTGAATCATGAAACCCCCTTTCTGAGATGCTCCTTAATTATTAGCCAACTTAGGCCATTCTTCCACCTTCAGGTAACAAAATGAAGGTTGAATTATGTTCCCCCTTGATAGAAAGAAAGGGTCAATTGTAAGATTACTGAATCAGAGCTCCAACCCTGCTGAAAAACTATTAGGTTCTGAGAGCCTATGAGTAGACATCAGTGAAGTGTCCCCTTCAAAAAATGTATGAGTTTATTCTTGTTGAAAAAACATAATAAATATATTTAACAAAAAAAAGGTGATGAACCATGGAGGAATAACCAGGAATACTCTGCAATGCCTAAAAGGCATGCACCTACTTGAAACTATCAAATTATCTCACTGTCATTTCTTCATGCAAACTATCTGGCACTACTGAATAATATCCATATGCTCAGGCAGAAAACTTTGCCACCTGTTAGACTTCCCATTCCCACATGGTTCTGATACTGTAGACATTTTTTGTTATCACGCTGGATTCTTCTCACCCTAATTATCTAAGGGTGGGTAGGATGGGTACCCATCCTATGGAGGGTAGGATGATTAAGAATAATTTTAAAAGTCTAATTTAAAAAGTGTCAATTTCTCACCATGGTTTGAACCATGTTTCAAAGGAGAACTGTGAAGCAGTGGTCCTTTTTCCCTTGTAAGAACAATTATGCAAAGCTAATATGCAAACTCTTAGCCACTGGAGATAATAGGAAGACCAACCTACATGACAATACTATCTACATTGAAAAAAACTGATTATTTCTCATCTAAAGCAGAGGTTCCCAACCCACGAACCATGGGGCTGGCACCACGCCATGGCATGCCAGAAACTGGGCTGTACTAACAAGTGAAGCCCCATCCTCGGAATGCAGGCAGCACACGAAACCACGTCCCTGCAGAAAAACCTTTCCCCTCGTAACTGGTTCCTGGTGCCCAAAAGGTTGAGCACCTCTGATCTTTTATTGCTACTTATGTCTTTTGAAAATAAAGCTGATCAAGGCTAAAAGTAAAGCTCAAACACAAACTAAAAGAACAAAACAGCAACAATTAAAAAAACCCAGCCATGTCAACAAGTGTACATTTTTCATGCTTAACTTTACAAACTGTTATCATCAATAGTCACAAATAAATTATGTTTGGGAAATATTTTCTATTTAAAATAGTAAAATTAATAATACAATATATCGAAATGCAAGAATAATTACAAGGCATGAATGAATCAAAAAGTATATAATTGTCTGTTCAGTTATAAATCATTATGACACACAACATTGTTTAAAAAGTATATTAAAATATATTATTAATACCAAAAATCTGCTTTTTTCTTATTTGAAAATGTTTTAAATTAACAAGAATGATTGTCTATTGTACTAAAAAACTAGAGATAAAGGGAGTGGCATTTTTCTAATATTCTAATGTATTGTCTTTTAAAACTACCTTCCTTTTTTTTTAAGAAAAAAAACCTACCACTATAAACCATCCTTATTATTTCTGGTTCCATTATCTCTGGTGGGTACATATAGATCAGGATTTATTATCTGCTGTAAAGGATTTCATATAACTACCACTTTTGATGTGTTTCTATTTGGAGGAGAACTTCGTTTTGAAGTTTGTTTGGTGTATGTGTGTGTGTGTGTGTGTGTGTGTGTGTATATATATATATATATATGTGTGTGTGTGTGTGTGTGTGTGTGTGTGTGTGTGTGTGTGTATCTTTGGTTGTTCGGGTTTTCTCCCGCGTAAGATTCGAGGTATCTAGGCAACGTTTCAATGAAGTCTCATTCATCATCTTCAGGCTTCTGTCTTCAGCTCTGTGCTTCTCAGAGTGATGTGAGCTCGCAGCTGCTTCTTCTTTTTAACTGCTAGTGGGGGTGTGACTTGATTGGGTGGGGGCTTGGCTGTGTTCTGATTGGGTGTGAGTCTGTTTTCTACGTGGTAGAAGATAAGACACGACCACGGACCAGAAGCCGCACTGCAGCTGCACCAGTACCCACTTCAAACCCCTCCGATCCATACATGAAGCAAACTTACACCCACCATGAAGATGCAACACGACCACGAACTCGAAGCCAAACAGCAGGATCACAGTTCACCAGCTCAAATCCCCCAGCAACTAAGACTAACCTGAGCACAACCAAGCCCCCACCTGAACAGAACACGCCTCCAGCCAATCAGAACATGGCCAACCCCCCAACCAACACAGCCAAACCCCCTACCAATGAGAACACACACACACCCAATCAGAACACAGCCAAGCCCCCACCCAATCAAGTCACATCCCCACTAGCAGTTAAAAAGAAGAAGCAGCTGCGAGCTCACATCACTCTGAGAAGCACAGAGCCGAAGACAGAAGCCTGAAGATGATGAATGAGACTTCATTGAAACGTTGCCTAGATACCTCAAATCTTACGCGGGAGAAAACCCGAACAACCAAAGATCCACATACAAATACCCACGAGAACCGGCTTCTAGATATGGAGATACATAAAATGTTATGCTCACCACCTGATAATGATTCAGGACAGATATGGGCAAACATTAACACACATCTAAGAATCCTTCTGTTGTTTGGGGAATAGACAGAAAGTATACAGTTCAGAGAAGGAGCATTTAAAAAGCAAATGAAAAGAAATAAAAGACTAAAGGATAAATTGGGCTCTAAAATGTAAGTAATCCAGTTGTTGAATTTTCTGTAACTTAACATCTGTCTCTTTTAATATATCTTCCTGACTTTATTTTCTCAAAGTTGCTCATTCTATGTTTTAATCATCCAATGGCACCCTTGAAATAATCAAGAGTATCTGTACAATGCAATTCTAAAAATTAGCATTATGTTCAAACTAGGATAGATAAGTATAGCAACTGCTTTTAATTATTCATCTTTAATTCAAAATGAAATCAATGTGCATAACAGAAAAAGAAATAAAGTGCATATATTATCTCTGTGTGCTTAATTATTAAGAATTCATGTTTTTCCCCATTTATATTTTAGAAATATGACTAATTCTTTACTAAATACTTATTCAGAGCACAAGGTTATGTATGAAAAGTGATAATCCTATTATTAATTCCACATTAAAACTGTCAGAAGTATCATTATATTGGAATCTAACCATTGCTCCACTCACTATACATTAGAATGTCCACCAATTAAAGGCAATGGATACAAAGACACGTTCAGAATTCTGTTTCTAAAAACTGGTTTTTCTATCAAAATAATGGAAACAAAGCAATTATGCATTAACACATTTAGTCAAAATATTTCTTCTGAAGTTTTGCTTAATCAGATAGATATAAATGGATACCTACCAGTTCTGACTTAAAATAGCCAATTGAGTTTTCATCAAGCTGGAAATACCTTCTTTTCCAGTTCTTCATCTATGTATACAAACAAAAATGTAATAAATATATTTTAAAGAAATATGTTATTTCTTATTTATTCATTATTTATTCACACAATTTTAGGCTTTCTATTAAGACTATATGTTGCTTTTCCCATATTCATATTCTGTGCATTATTCAGATCTAGTTCCTTAAATCAGAAATATTTTTATGATTCAACATGAATATAAGTGAGGATGTTCCCATTGGGTTCAGAAACTGCATAAGTTTATGGTATTCATTAGATGAAAATGGTTCTAATTGGGCAGGAAAAGCTTATTTTGCAATATAGAACAAGAGGAACCAGAAAAAAGATAGCAATTCATTCTTTAGTTGATTGCAAGATTCATCCTTTACAACTTGCCCTCCTCCACAAGAGGAAAACCAAAACAAATTGTTTGCTGAATCAACACCCAAATTCCCCAGCCAGTATGGCCATTGTTAAGAATCCAAAGAGTGGAATGCTACAGAGTACCCAAGATTGGGGAACAGCGGCTGATCAGTTCAGTGCTCAGACAAGAAAGACATCTTCTTCATATTCAGTAACAGAGATAAACAGTAACTGGACTTCTGCAGCAGCTAATACTTTCAAGTACTTTCTTAGGCTCCAATTTGGCATCAAATAGAAGTAAAATTGAGGACTGCTTTATATTACAGGTACTCCTCAACTTATGGCTACAATTGTGCCCAAAATTTATGATGTTAAGTGAGAAATTTGTTAAGTGAGTTTAACCCCATTATACAACTTTTCTTGCCACAATTGTTAAGTGAATCATCGAAGTTGTTGCATTAGTAATATGGTTGTTAAGTGAATCCGGCTTCCACATTGACTCTGCTTGTCAGAAGGTTGCAAAAGGGGAACACATGACCCCAGGACACTGCAACTGTCATAAAGTTGAACCAGTTGTCAAGAATTCAAATGTAAATCATGTAACTATGGGGGATGCTGAAAAATGGCCATAAGCTACTTTTTTCAGTGTTGTTGTAACTTTGAAAGGTCAGTAAAAGAACTGTTCTAAGTCAAGGACTACTTGTATAATATTGTCAACATACTTAACATGGTAAAGTTTCCAGGGATCATGTTATGTTGTGTTGTGTTGTGTTGTGTTGTGTTGTATTGTATTGTATTGTATTGTATTGTATTGTATTCACAGAAATTCATGATGCATACTGCTGTACACTATGCAGCTCCACATTTGGATAGTGGTGATAATATTCTGACAATATGTATTAAAAAAAATCATTATAGAGATAATTTCAAGTGGATTATCTATGGTCCTATTCTCATATCCAGTACATATTACAATAAGCAGTCCTATTATCAAAATAGATTATTCACATGCCTGAAGAAATAGAATTTGAGTTGAATCAATGCAAAAATATCAGAAATACCTGAAACAAAGTCTTGAATTTGAAAAAGCCTTGGCCTTGTATTTTTTTTAAAAAAATATTAATTGTAGGTAAACAACTCAGTTGAAATAATTCTAAGAACCTTTCTTCAAGAACAGTTACCAAAACACATGTAGCTAATAGTAGTGAATAGTGTCTTAATTATTTTTCTTTTCTGAACCTTTTGCCTCCAACAAACATTCTTTCTTTAGTGTTTTGAGGAAACTTTTCTGCAAGGGTTAAAAAAACACCTGTGCATTATATATTGTATTTTATTAACCTCAAAAGGTACTCTATCTGCTTACCACTGCTCCCTGTTTAACACAATAACCTGCTTTGATAACGGGATTGTCTGGAGGATACTTAGTAGTAAAGTATGGAAGATGGCTTTGGGACCGTTTCAAGTAGCTTTTATCAGTTTCACCAGATTCATTTCTCTCTTCTTTCTAGAAAAAGTAAACAAGATAATTTAGAGTAAAGAAAAAAAAGTTGGTTTTGCTTCGATATCTAGAGAGAATTGGATTTATACAGCTATGATCCTTTCATCCATGTTTCACATCAAATAAATGGTATAAAAATTTATTTTCACTAGATAACTGTAAATTGAAAAGCAAACCAAACATTTTAAAGATACTGGAAACGAAGTTCCTTGTTTTGTTCTGGAATTACATCCTTGGTACACCCTAAATATAGATCTCAACTATTTCATGTTGCTTGGAGGCATAATCATAAAATTTAATAAATAACCTTCAAAAACTACTTTTTAAATTCTAACTTATCAAACGAGTTTTAAGTGAGTTTTATGAATTCCATAAAGACCCAGAAAATATAGCTACAAATCGAAGAATCTCATGTGCAACCACAGATATACAGTAGGTTTCACATTGACTAGAAAAGCCGAAGAACAAGTTCAATTCAGTCAGCTTCCTCCTTTCACTGAAGGCAGCATACTGTAAGTTAAAGGAGTTGGAAAATACGGGCAAACTAAAACTTTCCATCTAAGAACTACTTCTATTTTTTTCTTCTAATATGAAAATTAAGAGGCATTTTAACTACTGCAAAAATCTGGCAATGGTGTATCTTGACAATTTTTCCCTTTTCAGATTCAGCTGTTTCTACACATCAATAGGAAGGACAATATCCCAATAATATATCTATTATCTTGCAGCTGGTATTATTACCTGAGTAGGAGTGATTATGGGAACACCTCCAACAATTTCTGTTCTGTAAGACATCTGTTTTCTTATTCCCAAATTTTCAGAATGACGCAATGCATTATCAGTATGACACAATGAGTCAGCCTGCTTTGGTACCTGAAAATAGAACATTATAAAAATACCAAACTGAAATGTATCTTCTAAATCAGGCTGTCTTAGAATTTGACTATTCTTGTCTATTTTTAATTATTCACAAGTGAGAGAAATGAGGCAAATGTTCATCATTTCCTGTATCCCTTTTGGATCTCTTTCTTAAGACATGGTTAAATTATTTACTTACCTATCTTTTAAACGTTGCTTTAAAAAATCTTTGTTCATAGCTAAACATTTTAATAGTTTCCTGTGAGATTCTTTAATAACTTAGCTAAGCTATAAAGTCTTAGATCTTCTCCTATTGATTATTTTTAAGATTTCATTTTTTTACTAGGATGAGGCAGACTTTCAGATTTTTTTTTTAAATGGTGCAGAAATATGATGCAGAAACAATAGCGAAAAAAATTACATTGTATGTTTTTCCATCACTTACTAAAATCAATATTCATGCAAGAAAATATTCCACATTGTTTTTTAAAAAAATTTTTACGGTTTCTATTACTCTTTTCGTTTAGGGTGCTCAACAACAAATGCGGAGAGGTTATTTTATATATAAATTCTAAAACAAAATCATATTTACTTCTCATAGAGCTTAAAATTTTCTAATTTCATTGAGTGAGGTATAGATGTAGCTGTTGTAGCATATGATATCAAGATATTTTTAAAAAATCAGAATTCCTTTGTAGCAACAAGCATGATAAGCATCACTCCTCTTCCAAGTGAAAGAACTTCCAATCAAAACTGTTTTCATCCGATTGATCAAATATTTTCTAAAATGCTGAGCATTGATATCTAAGATTGATTTTGTCATAGGAGCTATGGTGGTGCAGTGGTTAGAATGCAGTATATTGCAGGCTAATTCTGCCAACTGCCAGCACTTCGATTGTCACTGGCTAAAGGTTGACAGACTTCCATCCAAGCTTGGTAAAATGAGGACCCAGATTGTTGGGGGAAATATGCTGACTCTGTAAACTGCTTAGAGAAGGCTGTAAAGCACTGTGCAGTATACAAGTGTAAGTGCTATTGATAATTATCAAGAAGTTTTTAAGTATCATTTGCTTTCATATATTCTGATTTGCAGGTCCACATGATAACACAAGTATAGAATCTGATGTACCATTTCCATCACTTACTAAGATCCCAGCATGGTAACTAATACATAAAGGAGTTCATCAAATTCCTAATCCAGATCTCAACATGGTATCTTAATGAATTTCCTTAATTCTACCTTCCTGATTGTAAGAACCCTTGTCCTACTCTGCTTTATAATTGTACTATTATACTATAATTGTACTATTGTACTATTTTTTCCAATCTAATGAAATGTCAACAGGTTAACTCCATCTGATTCTGTCAGCAGGATAACTCTCCCAAAACGAAACAGAATGAGACTAAATTTCAGAATACTGTTAATTCCTCCATTCCTAAACCTCCTCCTGGTAGGTCACGAGATTCAGGATCAAGCTGTTATTAATGGAACAGAAAAAAATTATCAAAGCCAAGCTTTGTTTATAAATATATACCACTGCTCAGAAAAAGTAGATTTGATAATGAGTATTTTGAAAGTGGTGCAGCTTTTTGCAAATGGGCAAGTTCCCATAACAGCCTTTTTTTTTTTTTTGAGTGCCCATGACATGCCCTCAAAATATCAAGTGTGTCGTCCTGTGCCAGAGAGGTTGGAAGCACTTATTTTAATCTACCAAAACAATATAATCTTGAAATACTAATGAAAGTTCTTACAGTTGTCACATTATAATGAGACGCTATGCAGAATAACCTAGAATTCAAAATGATCACTTACTGTGATTTTGGTAGCTTTGTTCAGAACATTTACCCATTCAACTAAGTCTTGCTGATCATTGGCTTGTAAAAAGTATTTCCTCATTCCTGCATTCATGACTATTGGAGAAAAAAAATTATATAGTCAGATAAAAAATTTAACGTGCTTGTGTGAAAAGTAAAGACATTTTCACTTTGTTTGTCTAGACAAAGACTCAAATGTTGGGAACCATAACTTTTGATATTAGTACATATACTGCAAATTCATGAACATATATTTTTACTTAGATTTTTTTATTCCTCTGATGTCCAGTATCCTAATACACAATTTATTAAAATAATTACCAAATTGTACTTTAAGATTGATTTTTTTCAAAACCCAAGAAAATAAACCCCCCAAAGCAAGCCAACAATATGCCATAACAAGCAGAATTCAAAATCAAAGCTTATAAAACAAAAAGATTAAGTTATTTCTTATATATACCATTGGTAACTGCCATTTTTATTAGATTACCAGAATCATTCTTTTCAATATTTGTTCTATAAAATACTGATTTTATTTTTAAACGCTGTTCTCTTTATATTAGAAAGAAAACATAGAATATAAATAAACTGGTATTCAAAAACATCAAAGTTTAACATGAAAAAGCTTGTTTCGCTTTCCAAAAATTATTGATGGTGCAAAACTTAAAGCTTTTTTTTTTAAACTTACCAAAACAGAATTCTGCCTTTGGCCTCAGTTTAGTTGCATCACTTACCTAACAAAGTGAAAAAACTGGCATTATATGGCATAGCATGTATAAACACTATATATTTCAATTTAAGTTTACTGATGTTGCTAAATCAAGCATACTTCTGTTCATGTGGATCAATGAAATGAGGCAGCGAACTGATGCAAGAACAGCAATTTTTTATCTTTGTTTTATATGCGCCCTTGCATTCTACCACTAATCCATTCTTTCTGAAAAGTTAACCATGTGTGAGTTGAGCAACCAGATAAATTTGTTGAATGAACCTCCATAAAATGTTAAGTTACAGACAGCAAGCTACCCTGTATGTACATAAATTTCCTATTGAATGTATATCATGTTCAACTTCCTTCTATGTACCTAATGTAATCGCAGAGTTCCTGGATGTTGTTGAACTGTAATTCACAGCATTCCTTGCACTTGGTCATACTATCTGGAACTATTGAGAGTCAATTTTAAGCTATGTACAAGATTCTGCATCCCTATTAGCTATTCAGAGACCTGGGGAAAATTTGATTGGGAATAAAGTACCCTATAATAAAAGCACATCTCACTCTTTCTCTAAACTTGCACAGAGTAAAACTTTGTTTTTGAACTTTCCATGAGCTCATGCATTAAATCTAGAATTATTACTGCCCTTCCATGTCATCTCATTTTTCCAATTGTTATTTGCATTGTGATCTTACGTTTACTGATCACTTTCATCCTGGGTCATCCCATCTCTTCTTTGAGATGGAAAGAGCATAAATAACATGGTACTCTTGTTTGTTTAAAAGATTTGTATAGCCATTCATCTCAAAACGTAACTACTTATCTCCTGAATTTTTTGCAATGTAATCCTTTTTTTCTTTTGAAGTAAAATGTGATGCACAGTTGTACTAATTCCTCCCCAGCTTGAGGTTCTCGCGGGTATTTGTATGTGGATCTTTGGTTGTTCGGGTTTTCTCCCGCGTAAGATTCAAAGTATCTAGGCAACGTTTCGATGAAGTCTCATTCATCATCTTCAGGCTTCTGTCTCCGGCTCTGTGCTTCTCAGAGTAATGTGAGATTGCAGCTGCTTCCTCTTTTTAACTGCCAGTGGGGGTGGGACTTGATTGGGTGGGGGCTTGGCTGTGTTCTGATTGGGTGGGGGTGTGTTCTCATTGGTAGGGGGTTTGGCTGTGTTCTGATTGGTTGGGGGGTTAGCCATGTTCTGATTGGTTGGAGGCGTGTTCTGTTCAGGTGGGGGCTTGGTTGTGCTCAGGTTAGTCTTAGTTGCTGGGGGATTTGAGCTGGTGAGTTGTGATCTAGCTGTTTGGCTTCTAGTTCGTGGTCCTGCTGCATCTTCATATGAACACATCTGACTACCAAACCAAGCTAACCAACCTACTCCAAGACCCCACATACAAACCCCTAAAGACAGACCCCACCACCTACCTAGAAAAAACTACCAGATCCAAAATAAAAGCCTCCCCCATCAGTGAAGAAATCCAGCAAGGAATCATACCCAGAGAAAAATCATCCAGATGCCCCAAGCTTTATGGTCTCCCCAAAATACACAAAGAAGGAACCCCACTCAGACCAATAGTCAGCTCCATAGGCTCACCTCTACAAAACCTGGCCAAATTCCTCACCAAACAACTACAACCCTATGCAGAATCCATCAACTCACACGTAAAAAACTCATTCCAGTTCATCGAGATCATAAAGAAACAAAACTTACAACCTAGCGACCTACTAGTAAGCTTCGATGTCATATCCCTCTTCACCCAAGTGCCAATAAAAGAAGCCTTGACAGCCATCCAAAACAAATACAACCCCCCCAAGCACATCCTAGATCTAACCAACCACTGCCTATCCAATACATACTTCACCTACAATGGACAAAAATACAAACAAATAGAAGGAGCACCCATGGGATCACCCCTCTCACCTGTCATCGCAAACCTCTACATGGAACACTTTGAAACACAAGCTCTAGAAAAATACGACCACAAACCCAAACTCTGGCTCAGATACGTAGATGACACCTTCATAATCTGGCCACACGGGAAAGAAAAACTGAACAACTTCCTCACATACCTCAACAGCCTACACCCCAAAATACAATTCACCATGGAAACAGAAGCCAACAATCAACTTCCCTTCCTAGATGTCTTGGTATACAAAAGATCCAATGGCTCCCTAGGACACACCATCTACCAGAAGAAAACACATACTAACCGCTATCTACATGCACTCTCACACCACCACCCAGCACAGATCAATTCCGTAGCCAAGACACTCATCTCCAGAACAAAATGCTTAGCCGATGAACAACACCAAAAAACCGAACTACACACTCTCACCAACGTACTTACAGCCAATGGATTCCAAAGAAAGAAGATTACCCACCTAATCCAAAAAGAAACCCCAACCAAAATCCAAGACAGAGAACAAGAAAACGGCAAAGCCCTCCTCCCATATATAAAAGGCACTACAGACAAAATTAGCAAGATCCTCCAAAAACACAACATCAAAACAGCATTCTGCACAAACAGAAAAATATCCACCATCCTAAGAAACCCCAAAGACAAAATCGAATTAGAAAACCAAGGAGTATACGAAATCCCCTGCACTGCCTGCCCTACCACATACATTGGACAAACTAACAGAAGAATAAGTGCACGCATTGAAGAACATAAGAACTCAATCAAAAAAGAAGAAACGACCTCTTCCCTGGTCCAACACCTCAAAGCCACAGGACATGAAATTGATTTTAAAAATACCAGAACTATCGCCAAAACCGAACACTTCAACAGCAGAATAATCAGAGAAGCCATAGAGATAGAAAAACGCCCACACAGCATGAACA